CAGGAGTGAGAGAACTGCCACGGGTGCACGGACGCAGGAGTGAGAGAACTGCCACGGGTGCACGGACACAAGCTAGGGGGGTTGGGTTCATCTTTTGGAGCCTTCAGTGCCGTGAATTACTTGATACAGCCCTTCTAGCCATAGTCTTTGTAACTCCTACCAAATGACTGGGTGGGACTATGTAGATGAGGTGCTTGTGGCCCACCAAGGGGATTTGATAGCTTGCTAATAGTGTAAATAAGGTGCATGGCACCCTTGTGGAGGTACCAATTACCTGCTGCAGTCAAGTCAATTCCAGTTCATACCAATGCTATAGGACAGAGTAGAATTGCTCCACAGGGTTACCAAGGAGCAATTGGTGGATTTGAACTGCTGACCTTTTAGTTAGTAGCCAGGCTCTTAACCAGTGCGCCATTAGGGCTCTAAATATTTGCACCACCATGCAAATAAGGCATATGGAACCCTAACAAGGGAATTGGTCACTTTGCTGTCCTGCTAGGCTTAAAAGAGAGGCAATTCCAGAGCAGAGAGAGGGAACCTCATGACTACCAAGAAGACATGCGAGTGGACCACGTCCTTTGGACACAGGATTCTTGCACCAAGAACCTCCTCAACCCAGGATAGAGAGAGAGCTGTAACACCAGAGACAGCAAGAACCAGTGGCAGAGAAACGGCAGCAGCAAAACCAGGAGACCGGCAGGAGATGGTGAGGTTGGCTTCCCAGCCCACAGAGTGAGAAAGCTGAGTGCCTTCGGACAGGAGGCTTACTGGTGGTGTAGGGTGCCTCTGGGCACTTGGTGGAGCTAGGTTTGCTGACCCACAAAGCTAGAGCTGAGCACCTTCAGGCTGAGGCTTACAGGCTGAGTGGAGTGCCTCTAGGCACTTATCAGCAGTGCTAAAAGAGCTTTGTAACACTTGCCAGAGCAGCGCAGAGGGCCAGACAAAGGTGTGCCTGCCAGCATGGCTGAGAAGAGGCTGTCCTGATGGAAGAACTGTATCCAGAGTGTTCCTGAACCTGAACTGTAACCTGTTACTTCCTTAAAAAACCCCATAACTGAGAGTATGTATGGTCTGTTGAGTTCTGTGCGGCCATTGCAACAAATTATTGAAACCAGCAGAGAAGTAAGAGAGTGCCATGGGAGGGATGGTTGGTGTCAGAATTGGTAAAAAGGCTGCAGGGTGGAGGCATGTCTGACCTCTCCTTCTTAGGAATCAGCCTTGGGCTGTTGATTTGATTCTCCTTCCCCCTTATAAAGTTAGAGGAGGTCAGATGCTGCTGCCACACCATTCTTACAGAGCCATTTCCCTTTAGAGCAAGAATAGAGCTAGGCCAGCCCTAATACAGCGAACGCTGCTGATGTCCTGAAGACCACCTGACTCAGAGCCCGCACGTTGGGTCTACAGCTGCATCCCCGAGTGTTGAGATGTCCCCATTAGGGAGGGTCATCATGGTGCTGCCACTCTGGGCTCAGCAGTAAGGACCCTCCAGACTGTGGTTTCCACCTCACCCTGTTGCTTGAGGAGGTGCCAGAGGCTGCCTTGCAGAGGACAGCCTGCAAGTAGAGTGGGAGAGGTTCCCAGAGTCAGGGAACTGCTCTGCGGGTATGTGGCCAGGTATTAGCAGTCCATGAGGCTCCATCTGGAAGAGGTGTTTCCATCACTTTAAAACAGTGCTTTGAAACCAGAAGTCCTCAGGGACTTCTGTAAATTTAAAACCTCTGGGTTCATGTTTATTTGTAAGCTTTCTCTAAAGAAGGCAACAAGATATTAAAGCTTTGTTGTACATTTTCTTACACACAAGATTTGAGCTATCTCTGTTTTGAGATGAAGCTGATATTGCTCATCCTCACAGGATGTGGGCTGATTTCTCTAACTTTGGCTGTGTCTGAGCTCATTATATGTGGTTTGGCTGCACATTGCTTTGGCTCTTTGTCTAGTAGAGCTGTCTGGCAGCCTTGTCCCTGGGAAAAGGATGGTTGTAGGCCCAGCCCAACAGACAGCCGAGGAGCAGTATGTTGGAGATAAACATGGGGCAAACAGCCAGTGGTTTTGTAGCCGCGATCTGATTGTCGGTCTTGATTATAACCTAAGCCTCCTCTCTGGTGGGTTTGTGCCCTCAGAGACTCTGCTTCTCAGTTCCTTCTTCGCAACAAGGTGATGTAAAGCAAGAGCCCCCTCTGGGAACCAAACCCACACAGTCAGGTACTTCCATCACTGGGAGTGGCACTGATGGGGGCAGGGCAAATCCACTCATTCTATTGGAATCTTTACTGTGGAAATTTGCTATAGGAAAAGCCCTGGTACTGTCCACCATCAGCCTGAGTGGCACGATCCGTCCTTTGTAGTCATTTCTAGTAATGAGATGATACCCACATTACTGGGTGTATGTGTGTATGGGGGAGCGTGGAGGAAGGAGGATCAGCCATGCTGAGACTTTCCTTGTCAGAGGGAAGCAACGAGCCACACTATTGAAAGATGAGACTTTTAACAAAGTTTTCACATTTATAAACATAATCGAGAACTTGTACTTGTGAAAGGCCCTGAATGAACTTGCTGCCCCACAGCCCATGATCTCCCCTCAGAGCCTGCTGTCTCAAGTCCCCAGCCGACCTTTGTGAACATCGGCCTTCTCGGCAGGCATCTGCCAAGTGCCTTCTAAAAGGGGCCCTTTGTGAGACCTTGTGTTTCAAAGCTCCAGGTGCTCTGCAAATGCAGTGTTTCCTTTCCTCTTCCAGCAGCCTTAAGAGGCGGGTGGCATATCTAGATAAGAAACGAGGCTTAGGAGAGGCTCACAACTTCTCGTAGGCCTCAGAGCTGGTAAGAGGCAAGGCTGAGATGTGAACAAAATCTGTCTGCCTCCAGAGCCTCCGCTGTCCTGTCAACTTCTTCCAGGACATTT